TGCAAAGGTAGATAGATTCTTGATTAACAATGGGATGAAAGATTGTCAAGGATATGCGGGAATGTAGAGTTGAGGTTAAAATCAAATCAGCCACGATCTTATTAAATGGCAAAGCAGGCTTGAATGACTGACTAAGTAACCTACTCTTGTTCCTTGTTGATATGTTCATAAGGCATGTTTGACAAGTTTATTAGGGTTAATTCAGGATGTAACAAGAAGAGTAGATAAGGGGAAACCATAAGGTGTTGTGTATTTCAGTTTCCAAAAGGCATTCAGTAAGATACACAATGTTATCGGACATTCCTACTTCCATACTCCATTACCCTTGCAATAGAAACCAACATTCCATTTGCCTTCCTAATTACTTACTATACCTGCATGATGACCTTTCGTGTTTTATGTGTGAAGAGGTCCGGATCCCTCTGAAATAATAGACAAAAATGTGTGTGAAGAACATTTCTAAAATGCCATGATTGTCACAAGTGTACAGAACTAGATAATCATCTCAAGTGGATGGTAAAGAAATAGTGGAAGACTTCAAATGATGAACCAAAACATGCTGCACTCCAAGAAGGAAACATGAGATGACTACAAAGCCGTTTCAAAGAGAGAGCCACCACTTCAGTGCCTCAACAACCAGTAAGTGGGATTTTTTTTTAAACAACAATTTTCACATACAGTACAAATAATGTTTATAATAGTTAACTTATTAGCATTGTGTAAAGTAATAATTAAAAATGAAGATTCTGTGTCTACATTTGTTTGGAGAAAAACACTGGAAATCCATAAATTTTATATCTCACTTCTTAAGTGTTCTGCATTTCAAGCTTAGATATTCTGAAATTTCATTCATGGAAAAATAACTTTTGTATCTGCAGATAAATATCATTCGAAGCTCCACTGTGTGCAACGTCAAGGCAGCAAATTTTTCACAAAACGAGTGCTCAGGTACAGAAGACATCAGAGCGGTGGATGAGAAGGAGCCAATGAATACATGCCACTTGAATAACAGATCTTGTATGACCTCGCTGAGCAGCATTACCCTTCAATTGTCACCTCCATCCTGCACTGGGTCTTCTCTGCTACACTGTCAGCTGGAGTGTCTGCACCAACAAGCCACAAGAGCCACAAGAAGAGCCACCAACAAGAGATAGATATCAGTCTTTCTATATCTGCTGTCATTCTAGAGCATTTTGAAGAAGGGCATGTATCATACTACATTGTCCTTGTCTGAATCAGTTTCAAGTATCATAATACCTAACATGATGATAATATTACAAGTCTCGGCTGAGAAGAAACAAAACAGTCTGGTAACTTTGATCATTCAGCATTAAAAATAAACAACTATCCACTATGCTGATGTAAGATATTGGCAATTACAACCCTTCACTCTCTGCAGACTTTTCTGTTGAGGTTCTGGAATGAAGAGTCAGTCTTTTGTGGCTGATGTGCTTTTCCTCTTATTCAAGGTACCACTAAGTGTTGGGCCCATACAAACATATAAGCCAAAGGTACCATATAAAGTGATAGTGAGAACTGCCGATGCTGGAGTCTGAGATAACAAGGTGCGGAGCTGGAGGAACACAGCAGGCCAGGCAGCATCAGAGGAGCAGGAAAGCTGAAGTTTCAGGCCTGGACCCTTCCTCAGAAAGGGTCCAGACCTGAAACATCAGCTTCCCTGCCCCTCTGATGCTGCCCGGCCTGCTGTGTTCCCCCTTTACTATATAAAGTGATACTTGCTTACCTGTATTATGTTTCTGTTTTTCTGAAATAAAAACTTACTCTTCTCACTTATTAAAAAGTATTGTATTTATATAGCCCTGTTCACAATCCCAGACTTTATAGCAATAAAGTATAGCAATAAAGTATAGCAATAGCACTTTATAGCAATAAAGTATAGTCACATGGGTATTAATCTAGGAAATGCAGCAACCGGTGTGTGCATAGCAAAGTTCTGCAAACAACACTTATAATTACCAGATAATCTGTTTTGTGATTTTGATCGCAATAAATAAATATGATGAGTTAATGAGGAATAAAGCCCCCCTCTGTTATTCTTCAAAGTGTCATAATGGGATCTTCTTTGTCTGCCAGTTAGAGTCTCTGTTGAATACATTATTCAAAGATCAGCATCTTTGTTGGTTTCCTCCAGGACTGCTTTGGAGCAACAACCTAAATTTTTAGGCTCAAAGTTCTGTAGAGGAACTTGAACCCACAATCTTAAGGGTCGGGCAAGAGCACTATCAGCTGAGTGATAATTGAAAAACCTTGTTCCTGTGTCTTCCTTACCTTCTGTCATGTCAAATATGCATCAGTAGTAGATCCTTCAGTGGGACAACTACTTGTTCTTCTGGTTATACCAATTTCTGTAATTAATTGCATATAACACAGTTCTATTCTTTGAATCTTGCTGTTATTAATCCTTGCCTTGTCAGCAGGATCCAGAAAATACATATAAGCAACCCAAGATGACTTGAAACAAAAACAGAAGCTGCTGGAAAAACTCAGCAGGTCTGGCAGCATGTGCGGAGAGAAATCAAAGTTAATGTTTCGGGTCCGGTGATCCTTCCTCAGAACTCGACCCGAAATATTAATTCTGATTTCTCTTTGCAGATGCTGCCAGGCCCTGCTGAGCTTTTCCAGCAATTTCTGTTTCTGTTTCTGATTTACAGTATGCGCAGTTCTTTCGGTTTTTACCAAAATGACTTGATGTGGAATTTATTCAAATTTAAACCATTGTGTATTTGAATATGTCAGAATGGAAAAGAGTTTAAAGTACATTGAATAATTGTGCCTTTAAATGAAGGTGGAGGTTAGATGATATTGATTCAGCTTCTGTTCGTCAAACCAATGCAAATGAAAATTGAGAGAGATGTATAATGGGATCTGGATTCATATCGTCCATATTACACTATCATCTAAAGTCAAAACTACCTTCATCTTTAATCATAAGTGCAGATAATCTCAATTTTCAGTATGATTTACAGCTTCACCTAAAAGCACTATTTACCAATTTGGAATTTGCAACATTATATTGCTTTGAAAGTATGCTCTGTGAAAAATTTGTGGAAAAATATTGAACATATTTGTATATAAATTCTTTTGGTAGTTGATGCTTGATGATTTGCCTTCAAATTGATAAGGTTTAATTAATTCAAAGGTTTATGCATGATGAATAAAAATAAGAAGATCCGATGAGCTCAATTGGCCAAATGCCTGGAGGATGGTGTAAAAGAAAATGTAAGCAGTAAGGGATCAATCCCAGTGAGAGCTACGATAATTTTTGGGACCTGTACCTTATCTTTTCCAATAGTGATATCAATGGATAACTATGATTCACAATCCTTGAACAAAGAGGATCCTACACAAAACAGGAGTAAAAGAAATGACAAATTGTTACATAGTTTACGAAAGTGTTAAAGTTTGTAATCATCACTGAGATATTTTTGTTGAATATTCAGCGCTGTTGCATTCATCTTGTGAATAAAGCGCTGATACTTAATGACACAATTGTGAGGATTATAAAGTTATGTTTTAGAGCTGTCTTTAATTTATGTGACCTGTTTTGAACACCTCCAAACAGATTTGTAAGAACTTAGAACAAAGCTGAAAGATTTGTCTCACTTACACTAGAAGGAGGCTGTTCACTAATGCTGTCACTGTACCCGCAATCATATCGTAGCTGTCCATGCCACCTTTAGAACACATCCTTAATTGCCCTGAAAGAATGGTAGGCCATTTCCATGACCTGCTGTTGTCTTTCTGCTAATGAGGTCTCACAGCAGTGTCAGATAAAAATTTCTAGGATAACAATCCAGCAATGATGAAGGAATGGCACTAGAAGTCTAAGTCAAGATGGTAGATGACTTGGACATAATCCTGAAAGTAATGGTATCCACGCAACATTGCTGCATTTCTCTTTCTCGATGGTAAAGTTTACATAAGATGATGATGCCTCAGTGAGTACATTGTAGATATTATGGTCACATTGGAGACTAGTCAATGAAGGTAAACAAGCGGGTGCAGCAAGCAATTGGGAAGGTAAGTGGCATGTTGGCCTTCATCACAAAAGGATTTGCTGTCAGAAGTGGGGATATTTTACTGCAGTTGTACAGTGCCTTGGTAAGACCGTATTGCCTGCAATTTGACCTCCCTATCTAATAGAGGACTTACTTGCCATAGAGGAATGTTGTCGAGGTTCACTAGGCTGATACCAGGGATGGCAGGACTGTCCTATGAGGAAAGGTTGGTTCGATTGGGCCTGTATTCTCTCAAGTTTGAAGAATGAGAGGGGATCTGATTGAAACACAAAATTCTAACAGGGTTAGACCGACTTGATACAGGGAGGATGTTTTTCCTGGATGGGGAGTCTAGAACCAAGGGTATCACATTCATGATGTGGGGTAGGCCATTTAGAACTAAGATGAGGAAACCTTTCACTCAAAGGTCAACCTGTGGAATTTACAACCACAGAAAGCTGTGGAGGCTGGGTCACTGAGTATATTCAAGAAAGAAATTGCTATTTTTTTTACATATCAATGGCATCAAGGGATATGGGGAGAAGGTAGAGATGTAGCATTGAGATAGAGTATCAGTCAAAACCACATTGAATGGCAAAGCAGACTCGAAAGACCGACTGGACTGACTGGCCTGTCCAGTTTCCATGAGACAGTGTCCACTGGCCTTGAGGCCATGATCAAGCAAAGTCTTCTGCCCTGGATCGCCTCAAAATTCTTGACTGTTCTTACAACTGCACCCATCCATAGAATGGTAAGTATTCCATCACATGACTGAGCTAGTGAAGGGAGAAAGTTTGTATAGTAACATTACACGGTATGCTTTAGGCTGTAGATTGTATTGACACAATCTCAGTTAGAGCGAGAAAAGATAATACATTGAATGATTGAATTTAGAAGATATTTGATTTGTAATTGACTTTTCATTAGTGCAGGGGAAATGATTAGTGAAATAATTATTTCCTGTCTGTTTTTGTCTTTCAGCTTTACCATCTCCTGGTGCAGGCATGCTTGGGTTCCCTTCTCCAGCTACTGTGTCCCCTGCCCTATCACTCAGCAGTGTTCCTACCAAACCTTTGCTGCAGTCTCCCCCACCGTCGTCATCAGTTCCTTTGGTTGGACAGCAGGCAGAGCAACAGAACAAGGATTCAGAAAAAAGTGGGAAGTCAGACAAGGCCAAGGTTAAACCCAAAGACAAGGATACGGAGAAGGACAAAGATGAAATTGTACCCACTAAAAAGGAGGAAAAGGAATCATCAATCATATCAAACCAAAATGGAGGTGGGAAGTCAGCGGATCCTGCTCAGCTGCAAACACTTCAGGCAGCAATGACAGGTGATTCCAATTCTTTTCTGGGTGGACAATTCTTGCCATACTTCATTCCTGGATTTGCATCATATTTCACTCCTCAACTTCCTGGAGCAATGCAAGGAGGATACATTCCACCGT